AGAGCGAAGCGTGCGAGTTTACCGTTGTAAATTCGTGAAGAGCAAATAAAAATCCTATACACTAACGCTCCCTGGTTCCGCCCCTCCCACATCTATAAACCTACGGCGTTTGACCACACGAAGCGAACGAGTCGTAAAATACCGGGAAAAGATTCTCCCGTCTCGTGGGTAGCTTTTTACGAAGACTCCGTGAACAGCGGTAGGGCCTGTACGGGTCTATTAACACGGTTTCATCGCCGACACAAATCTTCCATTTCGGTGGAAGATGTACGCTGACGGGAGCAGCGGGCACGTGCTTGGGCGCGATAAAAAACTATCGTTCCGGCCGGCCGTTCGAATTCCTACTAACATCGCTCCCGTGATCTATCGAGAAGCGATACGTTAAACGTTCCACAGAAGCCGGCGACACGTCGCTGTGTATAGCACACGCACACTCGCACATTCGGCCGACGTTTCGTTCGTTACAGTTATATGCACGACGAATAACAACTACGCGTTCGAGCTTCTATCTCGCGTGCCGGCTACAAATAAACCAGCCCCGATAACCGCGTTCGCCTATTTCGCTAAACAAACAAAACTGTCCTCTGGCAGCTGGCACGCGTCGCCTCGCTTCTCCAGCAGAGACGGAGAAAGTTTCGCGCTTCGAGCGGTCCTATTTACAGGCTGGACCGTGCATATAACCGGTGCTGTTGTCGCGTGAATAAGCGCGCATGTGTACGTGTGTGTCACGGTTAACAGAATCGAGGGACGGTTAATAGCGAAACGCTTCTTCCTTCCCATCGCGAGCGACGGCAACGGCAACGGCAGCAGCAGCAGCAACACGGTATCGCGCGCGCCAGTTCGCGTCGCCGGTTACGCGACGCTGCAGCTAACGACCTGGATAACCAGCCGTGATGTTTCCAAAGTAACGTCATCGTTCGCCGCGATGCGACACGAGGCGACGAGTCTGGCGACGGAGTCGCTCATTACAACTTCCGGTCCAGGAGAGCGAGCCAGAAAGAGAGCAACCAAAGGGAGGGGGAAGGACGAGGAGGCAGAGCTCGCGGAGTGACGGTGGTGGGGGGAAGAGAATCAGCGGCACGACGAACTGGCCGGCCGAGGGAGTGAGACAGAGAGCGCGGGCGCGAGTAAGATGGACGGCAGGGAGGGAGCGAGAAGGAGCGAGAATCGAGCGAAAATGCTCAACAAATAGCCACATCCTCATAATGGAACGGCGTATCAAACTCATTAGACGTCGTTATTGAATCGACACGATTACGTTCCGCAGAAAGATCCGATCTTCCCGTTAAAACCGAATGATCGGCTCAGACGGTCGCCCGATCGTCACCGCGAGCGTTGATATGCGCGCATGTGCATGCGCGGTGCATCGGGGAATCAGCGTACACGCCAGAACCACGCTGCGCACGTCGGGAGATTTAGGCGTGCGAGAGTGCGGGAACCCAGTCGCGTTATAGCAATGATTCATGCCAGGTATGTTAAACTGGTTCCGAGGCGGGCTGCACAGCCGCCGGAAAAAAGAATCCTGGCCCGATCTACGGGACACAATGCAACGTTAGAGAGAAAACGGTCCCCGTAGACGGTACGTACGTCTGATCCGCAACCCTGGCCCCGCTCCCGGCGAAGGGTGGAGTGCGAGTGGGAAAGCAGGAAGCGGACGGATTTTACGTAAGAAAAGAAAATTATAATTCACGGCTATCGAAACGATCCTGTTCTACGGTCAAGCGGAGGGGGGCAGCACCGTCGTGGAAAAATGCGTGATTCGCGTTACGATTCTCGTGCTATCTCGCATCTCACGTTTCGCTAGATAATTTCGCCCGTAATAAATTTTCAGATAAACCACACCGTGCGTCGCATTTTATTACAGACTCCGTAGCCTCGCTTCTAATCAGTGGTTTCGCGCAGGTGTCGGCTAATATAAAAATAACAACGACTAATTTCGCGGCAGCAAAAATACCCCCCGTTCGAGATATATAATAAACGAAAATCGATGCGAGAGGAAGTGGCCGGTAATCGTTCGTAGTTCGTATACGCTGCGTATACGGCACGCAGAAGCATCGAGTTAGCCGGTACTCGCGCGCGTTTCGGTCGCACGACACGCCAGTGGTTCTCAAACGGCAGCTTGCCGTCGCGGACAAGAGGATGCGAGAAAGCCTGGCCGAACGGAAGAGACGATAAGCACGTACGGAAATCCGTAGCGGGTTCTGAATTTAAAACGCCAACAGTCTTGACACCGTTCTAAGTGTCCGAGTCTAATGTTATTGGACGGTGAATATTAGCGCGCCTCACGTGACCACCGACGAGCACCATACGGCTTCCTTTTACACGCCATCGTTTTCCCTCCTATCGTGGAATGCTTTAGGCGTCGCTGGAACGACGCCGTTGCCAGGTACGTTATATTCAGATATAATAAAACGTTATCGACCAGATATCGGGGCCGAGCAGCGTTCCTCTCGCGAGCCGTAGGAAAATAATGTCGGTGTAATAAAGCACGCGAGACATTGAACTCGGATGAAAAACAAGGACTACGCGCCTCGTTCGACTTATCGATTCCCATAATCGCCATAATCGACCATGGCTATCCCCGATGTTAATAGAGTTATAGTAAACAGAATATTGCGTGTAGGAAGGCCAAAACGAAGAAGAGAATAATTTTTTCCCTAACTCTGGAAAATTTTATATACCCAACATACAAAGACAACGATCGTAAAATACTGCTTAAAAATTTCATCTCGAATTTACGCGAGCTAACTTGCGAGCGCGCGCGCGCGTGCGTTTATACGTGACGACAGATGCGGTGGCGGTGACGCTGGCCGAGAACGAGGTGTAGATGATCGATCGATGGCACGTGCTATCGATAGACGCACTCCTTCCGCGTGTATTTACACGCGTTTTGTATTTCGTCCAACTTTGCCTCGGATCATCGAACGCGAGAGAAATAGAAACGTATCTCTAACCTCTTTTTTTCCTTCCTTATCCGAATATTAAGTAACATCGATAACCGTGAAAAATGCAAACACGCTTGGGTACGCTCGAATACGCTGGCAGGAAAAAAAGACACGTTTTTTAATCCTCGAGATTAATCGGTAAAGGCATGAATCTCGCGAGCGTAGATAAAGGATAGGCCTGGAGGCTCGGTATTGATGACTGCGATCGGAGTTACGCGATTATTTATCACGCGCGCGATCTCTGACAGACGTTAAGATTTAAATGGCAAGCCACGTGGCGCCGCGCAGCGGCCGTCCAGGTTTTCTCAATTTCGAAACGCGTCGCGGAATCAGCGTGTATCGTGTGTCCCGATAGTACGGGTTCGAGTCGCTCGATAAAGGCGAACTGTTTCGCTATTCAATGAAAAGATTATCTTTTCACGGTGCACACGCTGCTAAAACGAGCACACAAACGCGTTCGTTAGCCATCACGCTCTTCTTCTCGCGTGCTCAATGAAACGGGGATTATAAAAAACGAAAATTGTCATTTCACGTCGGTCAGAATGGTCGAAACGAAAGACGGCGCAGTTATTGACCACGACTTACCGATGGATATTGCGGTATAAAAAGGTCGGAAGTAGGAGTGTAGCGTCCGTGTCACGTACGTTATTTTCATTTGTAGCCGAGCGTGCTTTGACATTTGGAAGGTAGGAAGGTGCTCGTAAAACTACCACCCTGATATTTTCTTTCAAATTCCCCGAGTTTAACGGTCGTCGACGTTCCTTTGGCGAGCGACCGGGTGGCAGCCATTGTAAATATTGCAAATATCGTTGAATCGCGACCTCTAGATTTCGTAATTACGATTTACCGTTCCATAATCTATCCATCTAATTTACTATCCAATTATATCGATTAAATACGCACGATTATTTACACCGATATGCAAGAATCAACATCGATAAATTATTCCCTAAAAATTTTCCGGCCGCCATGATGTATCCGCTAACGCGCGCGATTCGAATCGCAAGATGCAACGGCACCGCGCTGTCGCGGCGTGACAAAGTACGACTTCGCTATTCTTGACACCTTTCTCGGAATCTCGGGAGCGGAAAAAAAAAGAAGAATATGCTAAGGCGGTTGCGGTACAGAGAAAAGAGTTCGATTTTGCCGCTTCGAGCGAAGGTTATGAAAATGTCATCAGTCTCGGACACGCGATGTATAGTAATTTTTTATTTATGAGCTGGATACTATATATCGTGGTAATTATACCGAGACGAAGAATAAACTTCCTTCCATACACATCCGTATCTTTTTTCCTATCGTATTCGATCTATCTGAGACGCCGAAATAGATATAAGGTGGTACGCGAAGGTAGTCGAGGAACGACCGCGACCTACGACAGGGTTCACTGTACGACGTTCGAGCTTCCAAACAAATTTGCTTTTCGAAGTTAGATTGGTTTAATTGCACCATTACTTGATACCGCGTTTCTCGCGCCACGCTCACGCCCGTGCCAATGAACTGTCAGTGGTGCTATACGCGACAGATTCCGGTAACAAGGAATGCAAAATAACGTACTACGCGTATTCGACTTACGTAAACGTAGCACGAAACGCCTAGAACGTACCGCGACGACGCTGCCGACGAGTGTTTGAAAACATTCGGCAACTCTGTCGACGAACGTTTGAAAACAATTTTCGACCGACCTTTGAAAAATATCATTCCCTGGCTACGGATATATTACACGGGAGAACCTTCGACATTCGTCGGAGTCACGCACATATATCAGTGAAAGAGTACAAGGAATATCTTTGTTGACGATTCAACGCAGTTGGACGATTCGAAACACGATTCCAAGACCCTTGCGTTAAGCCCTCGGTACAATCGCGATTTATCGAGAGCTCCGCGAGTTTACTTTTCGACTATAAAATTTATCATCGACCGATAAATCGTTATCAATTTTTCGAGAATACGTCACATGCGAGTGTATCGAGGTTTCAATAAAGAAAAATGGTAGACGGTCGCGAGAAGCGAATCCGCGAGCTGGCGAGACGTATAGGTTATGTTTGCGCTTACCTTGTCGGCCGACGATCTCCGCCACGTGCTCGCTGCTAGGCACCGGCACGCACTCGGTCATGTTCTGGCTCTTCTTAGAACGTGCCTCCTCGAAAACGCCTGGCGGTGTCGTTTGCAGAGGATCCGGATCGTTGGCCGTTCCGGTGCCGGTTCCTGTGCCGGTGCCCGGGCATCCGGGAGTGCCCTCGAGACCGAGCATGGATAATTCTAATGCCAATTGCAGGGCTCGTTGGTCCTCGAGGGAAGCCGTCCCACCGCCATTCGCTCCGCGGTCCATTTCGCTGAACAAACTCGTCGGCATTTTGCTCGGCCGATAAGTTTCGCGTTATGTCGCACCGGTAGAGTTAATAATACGTAGATACGTTCGCACAGATAGTAAATCACAGTTTCTTTATTCACCGATTTTCACTATTTCCTCCTGGACAATGATAGTCTCGCGTCTCTCTTCACAGCCCGTGTCTCGTGTCTTTCTTCCCCTCCGTTTTCTCCTATGGGTTGGTCTAGCTCGAGTCGATAATGGAGGATCGAACCGAGTGCCGAACAAAGAGGTGCTCCTCGCGGCAGAGTCTAATTCGAAACGATCGAAAATCAACGAAACACACGCGCGCGCGCGCGTGCACACCACACACACTGGATTATTTGGGACGAGGACTACTACGGTGCCGCTACACCAAGAAACGGGGCGATCTACTCTTCTCGTGCGCGGTCACGGGGAAATGTATGTAGGAAAAACAACGATGCACCGTACAAAAATAAAATCGTCGCTTTGCCAGTGATCGTTTTCGTCTTCTTCCTTTCCCGTCCGGTCCTCTGTGCCGCGCGTGTGTACGAAGAACGCACGGCGTGAGTGTTGTCCGTACACTGGAAACGTGTGGGCTACTACTCGTAATCTCGTGTCCACAATCGCACGTCCTTTTCTCGTCGATCAGTCTCTCACTCGCGCGCTTTCTTTCACCGGCGTGCAGAGCCGTGCTACGAAAATGGCCTTCTCGACGATATTCGCACTGGTCGGAACTGTTCGTAGAGGTGTTCGTGTTTCTATGAGCGCGACTCGAAACCGTCAAAGTCGTCGCTCGCGATGTTCGTGTTTTCTCTTTTTTTTTTTCTTTTCTTATTTTTATTCGCGTATCTGTTTTAACCGATACAATTTCGTTCGTTCGTCCTCTCTTCTATTTCTCTCCGTCTCGTTCGCTCTCGTTCTCCCCTTCGGCGGAACGACGTAACGTAACGTAACGTAACGACGCGTGTATCACGTTTGGGAGCTTCGTCACCGACCGACTGACTAAAGCGTCCGAGAGCGTCGTCGCGCGACTGAAGCACTGAAAACGGTGGCAAGGGGCGCCGCGCTCTCTCTTTCGTTCCTTCTTTCTCTCTTTATCTCGCACGCTCGTTCGCGCTCTCTCTCTCTCTCTCTCTCTCGCTCTCTCCCCCTCACCGCGATCTTTCCTTTCGAAGGCAGGCGCGTGCAACTACCCTCTCGCTCGTGTTACCACTGCGACTGACTGCGACGTACTGCGACTGCGGGTGCTAAAGCCGGCGCGCCGCCATGTGCCGGACGCCGGCTATGCGTACCGCTGATTGGTCAGCGCGGTCACGTGGCACCGTACCACCCCTCCCCACCACTGCTCGGCCAACCGGCGCACAAAGTACCAGCGCACCTACCGGCCGAGAGCGCCGCACTTCGTTCGCCTCCGGATACGGGCGCGTGCACTCGTCCCTACCGGCTTGCAACCCCCTCCGTGTTACCGCTCGTGCTCTCGTCTCTTCGCGAAGTTTCCCTATGGATCCGCGCTAGAGCACCGGCTGCACCACCGATTTTCAACGCCGCTGATTGCGAGCCCGGGGCTGCCTGGGATCGTAGCTCCATCTCTTCGCGATAACGCGAGATACCACGGCCAGGGGATGCACTTTCATTCCGTCGATGTTGTCTCGCTCGATTTAATTACTCACCGCCAATATCTCTCTCTCTTTACCTTCCCTGCTTATTTTAATCAATCGCTACGCCTCTTTTACTCCGTTTCAACTTTCCTTTCGCCGTTTAAACTTTTCAATACTAATTTCAATTTCCGTCTCGCTCAATTGGAAAAACGCATCGTTAAAATCGATATCCTCGACGGTGGCTTATCGAACGCGGGCAAGATACGATATTTTTCCACGCGTTCTCTTACCGCGGACGGCAATGCCGCGTTTTCCCAGAACGTTCGCTGGATGCATATCGTTCACGGTAAGCCCGTGCAACACCCTTTCCTATCTGCAGTCCCGTCAACGACCTCTGTCTCGCGTATAGGGTGCCTGGCAAACGCACTCGTCGGTACTCTTTTTCGCGGTGCGTGCAGTCACTGCGGCACATCGGCGAAAGGAAATGCAACAGGAAGGAAATTTACGACTCCGGAGAAATAATAGCAAGGTATCGTTCGAGTCGTAAAGCGTAGTTGGATCGTTTGAGACTCCTATCACGCCGTAAATTAGATACGACGTCGAGAGTAGTTCAAAGGAAATCTCGGCTACTCCCCGTTATCGATACAAAGGCGAGATACCCACTTCGTCGCGGGGTTAGCATCGTTTCCAATCGTACCGACCATTTTTCTTCCACTTTTTCTTTTTCTTTTATTTTTTATTTTCTTTTATCGGTGATCGTTAGCCCGGTCGAAAGGCGCGCGTGTCGAGAGTAAATACGTCGATGGGATATCCTTTATGAGCTCGGGCAGGAACGTTCATCGACTTGTTTATACCAACGAATCGGATTAAAACATTTCGATCACCGAAGAGAGACGCTGCATTTTGCCAGTTTCGACGCAATGCAACTCGATAAATTTATGCAGTATCGCGGCCGATGAAACGGGAAAAATAGAGTTTTTATTGCGATCGATACCCACGAGCGAAACAAGTTTCTGCAGAAACGTCTTAGCACCGTGCTATAGCCGAGGCATTACACCGTGGAATGGTTAACTTTCCGTAATCGTGGTATCGGGGAATATCTTCACTGCGAATCGGTTGAGCTAGGTTAAGGTATTTGTGTAATCCGGCTTCGAAAAATCAATTTTTTTTTTTTTTCATTTGATCCAAATGCGCGGTTCCGAGAATGTCTGTGCAAGGGGATTTGTTCGAATTCGTAAAATTGGCAAAGTTATGGTCGTTTGAAGTGCGGCACACAGGTACCGTACAATGGGAAACGAAAAATTTAAACGCGTTTTTCTCGAAACTCTGTTTTTTGAACTGGCTGACGGGATATCTCGCGTTCCGGTTGACCGATTGACTCGAAATTTGGTGGAGGTCTTCACCGGATGTACTCTCATCGCGTGAACCACAAATTTTAAAATCCGACGCTTTTTTCTATTTTTTTTACCACCCAAAGTACGAAAAGCACGAGGAAAATCGATATTTAAATTTAAAAATTCTGCCACTTTTTTCATTTTCGAAATTTCGCTGTTTCGCTGGTTCATGCTATAGCCGTGTTCATACTAATTAAGACGCTCTTTAGTTTTTTCGCTTCGGATAACCAGGTGTTCCGGAATCGTGTCAGCCATTCGAGCCCGTTTACAAAAACGTGTCTCACACCTAAAGCTATATAATTTCCACAATTTTCGTTATTTCCATGAAAAAAAAAATGTGAATACTCTCTAGGTATAGATAAATCTATCCACGAAAAGTGCGTACCAAAATCTATCATGGTTTCCTCAGAAAAAATTCCGAAAGAGGTCGATATTTATTGGCCGGATTACAAGAATACTGCCCTAAGTTCCCATCGTCCTTGAACTCGTAGGAATTCGTTCCATGCGGTCGATCGGTCGATTGTCGCGATTTATAATTAGCATAACCGCGAATCCCTCGAAAAGGGCGAAAAAAGGGTGTTCGTGCGGGGAGAAAAGGAAAAAGAGCGAGGAAAGCATCGGGGAACAGGATCGATCGTTAATTCTCGCAGAAAAACCTATTAAAATTCCATTCTCAACGTACAATGCAAAAAACGTAGTCATTACGCGTGTTGAAGAGCACACCTTAATAAAAGAACAACCGTCCCGGTTCTCTTTAAAGGTGAGCTGCGATAAATTTTTAAAAGGAACCAGTTCGCCGCGTAATATAAAAGCCAACGACGCAAGAAGCTGTCCCCCACCTTTCCGCTAATTGTCAAAAGTCGGCCCGATATACCGGGCCCCGTGTAATTGCCTCGCTGATACCTGCGACCTCTTAATCCGCGAATCACGATCGCAGCGCCACCTGCGCCGCCGGAGCCCACTCGCCAACCTAACCTAGCCGGGGGTTAGGTCTAAGCCGATTCCTAAATGCACCCGCGTGGACCTTGAACCGAGGTGCAACCGTGTTCCATTGTTCTCTGCCGACGACCCTTCGTCCTCTCCCCAGGCCTGGCGATTGCTCGATTTTTAGTCGGGCCTGCACGCACGATCGGGACTGTGTCCTCCGTCTCGTCGAGGACAGCCGACCACGCTGCGGAATAATTCCGGAATCTCGGAAACTTTTATTACCGCCGCTCT